CTAGCAGAAGAAAAGGCGATAAAGTTTTTGATTTGCGTTTTATCTGTTCTTTGTTTTCGACCGTGTTTTTTTCGTACTGATCGCCCACGGTGACGAACCGCACGTACAAATGCGCTGAAGGAGATGCTCCCTTCCGAGTTCTGAGTTCCGAGTTCCGAGTGACGAGTTCCGAGTGACGAGGTTTCAAATCGGGCGAAGCTGTTCGAGCCGACGACCCTGCGAGGAGGAGGACTTGCGGCTGGCGTCGACGAGGTGTTGCTTAGAGCACGCTTCGATTTGCTTGCCCTCTTATTCATAACCGCGGTCGTTAATCGCGGTTTGCTTGGTTCATTGCTCGACACAAGTCGTCTTAGCGAAATAAAGACGACGAATGACGTTGAACGAAATTCGATTCCGCACGATACCTGATTCGAGTTTGCATCGCATATCCCATTTCATAAACTAACATCCAATCCTTGCATCCGTCTTGCTTTCCGCCAGTCAGTCGTACCCGGCAAGTAAGTAAATGTTTTTTTTATCTGAGTGACCGACGATATACGTATGTTCAGTAAGGCTTGTGCTCATTCGTCTTTCATCATCACCTGTCCATGTTATGTCCCCCCCATTACATAATGGTTCTAACACGGAGTGAGTTAATAACTGTCATAATCATGTTGCGTTGTAATAGACCGTTTACGTCTTCATTAATTCAGCGGATGCTTAAATTTACGCTACTCTGTTCTCCTGCACATTAATTAAATGCATGTTCAGATTTGCCGTTTATATCTTGCGCTAATTTTTACTCACTTTCACTCATGGTGGATCTAAGCGAAATTCTATCGTATGGAGCATTAGTCACACTGCATAATCATAAGTCTTTGATTCCCTCTAAAGACCGCACAAGAACAAAATGATGTCTCCGTCATTTACGGGTCGACGACCTGATATCCGTTTCTCGGTTGGTGGCACAGTCGAGTGAATTTCTTGCCTAAGGAAATTGGAAGCTTACCGGAAATTTCAACGCGTGCTGAGATTTGAACTTTTCTCGAAAATGTGCAAAGGTAAACTGCTTATCCACTGCATCACTGCCTCAATTCAAATTAAGTCTTGTGAATGATGACTCTTGCCTGATGTTCAGGTAATTTTTATTTTCCACGCTTGTCCTCATCCGGCGATTCTGTTTAGAAGTACAGTTTATAATTCACATTGCCTCTCGCGAATTCTTACCGCAAAGTGAGTTTACGGCTGTAAGATATATCGAATTAACATTGGCTTTGATTTGATGGATCAGATATTGCATTGTAATTATTTGTTTGTTTCTGTTGTTAATCGTGTTCATTCAAATCAGGAAACATATGAAGTCAGTTCACTTTATACCGCAAGACACACCGGCTTAGAGAATGATGTCTCTGCTACATGGAGTGTTTGTACTACTTGTATTTGAGGTGGTTTTAATTTAAATTCATACTACTCGAATGAAAGAAATAATATAGCACACATCACAGTAAGTTAGAGAAAAATGAAACACTGAACCTTGCTTTTTGTCAGGCAGAGGTGCGTGACTTTTTCAGTGCCTGATTATGGGTCCTGAAGGAGGGACAGTAAGTTTTCCTTCGAGTTCTGTCCGGGAGAAGATATTAGCGAACGAGAAATGTAGATCTAGTGAATATGCCGCCTGATCGGCACTACGATCATCTAGTGAGGATGGACCTGCACTGTCTTTAAAATGCGAATACCAGGTGAGACAGTTGATTCAGTTGTCCAGACTACAGAAACGCTTTTCCTTCACGGCTGGCGATTGAGTCTTGAAGCAAGATTCACCGATCTCACGATGGCTTTCAAGTCACGCGCTAACTGGCCAGGGAATAGAACTGTGGCTTGGGAGTGTATGGAGGGTAAGAGTGAGTGCAGAGACAAAGTTCTTGCGATTTCATCTCTGCTAGCACATAATTTCCTAAGATTTTTTGCATGGAAATGTGCCCTTCAGTATCGATATAATACGCACTGAACCCTTCATTCCATGTGGAATCACTTGTCAGGGTGTAAGAAACTGAGAATTATTAACCGTTGGAATATGGATCTTACATAAAATTTAATAACTGGAGACGGTCATTTTACGAAGTTCATGGATGGGGGGGGGGCGCTGATCTCCATTTTCACGCTATCAGCCAGGTGTAACTTATTTTTCTACAGGAAGAGTCGGTGTGACAAATACAGTGTGTACTATTCTGTCTCCTTCCAACAAAGTAGCTATCATTTATCTGCCTCAGAAGGAGAAAATGACCAGTGAGCCGACCAGAGTTTGAACCTGAAGCCCGTAGGTTCTGACAGACGCTATGCTAACTGAACAACACCGGCCTGATGGAGCTATTTGATTTTACGTTGCGTAGCAGCGTTAGTTCGATTTCACATTCTTTCATGTTAATTAATTTTGCACCTGTACCTGACTATCCAAATCACCTATTGATTTATATATGTAATATACTGACGGGGTTCTACTAATAACGTGTAAGGAACTACTGGCTGCGATGAAATACAACCAGATTCGTTTTTGTCTGCTACGGCGATTAAACTTGAATTAACTTGGAGCAAACCTAAAATATTTTTGAAAATGACCTTCAGAATAAATATTGAGCTACCTTCGTTAGATGTACCATAATGACGTCCAAACTACTTAGAAACAACCTAAGAAAGTCGAATAGTTTCATGACGTTGATAAGTTCAAAATGTGTAGACGTTTTATTTATCATGTAGTTTTCAGACCATGGCTCGAATCACTTTTATCAGCGTTTCAGTAAAAGGACACCGTTGCGAGGTTCTAAATGTTCCGTGATAAATGAAACCTTACCACTTTTAGGCTCATATATCGCATGGAAGGTTTTTTAAGCTGCCATCAGTCGACATTATGTGTATACAGTTCATAGAAAGGATTGATAAGGGATTTAGATATGATCACTTGAAATATTCATGAGGATGAGGGAGCATCAGGTTTGAAAAGGATTTCATTGGCTTAGGCTTTCCCCTAAGCAGAACAGCTTCATTTGCTGGCTTTCAGAATACCATTGCCCAGACACTGGACGCACATAACAATCTAGCACTCGGTTTGGTCTTGGGATCTTATTAACTGTTGTGGTGCTATATTTCAGCAAGGATTTCAGTTCCATAATTTTTCTGAGGCTACACCTTGTACCGATTATCATATTTTATAGTTAGCTATCAGGTGGGTCAAGGCGAAGTGCAGTCACAAGAAGCACACACATTAGGCAGCAAGGCGTGAATCTCTCACTCTGGTATAATCGCAGCAGAATACCATGCTGTCCCTATTGTTTGCAAATAACCGACCTGCTACCCGTTTCTCATTTGGTTGCGCCGAAGCAACTTAAAGAAAATTTCGTGTTAAGACAAAGACTCTGCCTTATGCGGAATCGAATCCAGTACCTCATTAGTTCGAAGCCAACCTCTTACAATATGTTACTGCTCACCCTCTCAATGGCTAAAACGCTTGAAACTGAAAGCCAAGGGAGTTGGGTAAAGAAAGAAGTGAAGGAACAAATGAAGCGTTACTTGTAGCATCGAACTTTCATGTCTCTGTTCCAAGTACGAACATAAAAGCATGTAGCCTGCATAGTTAAATTTTTACTTTAAGGTTGCTGAGTCTCAGACACTTAGAAAACTTGACTTTGTAGGTGTTTCTGCCCATAGCCGAATTCTGACTGTGCAGCTCTGTTTTACTGTTTAATAGGAACTGCTTATATTGCTTATGCCAGAGAGACGTGCAAACATGCGACCAGGTAAGCCGATTGTAGTCGCCATTTACCATGGTTTTGAAATATTTAACTCACGATGTTATCAGGCCAATGAGAACCGTTCTGTCGTAGTTCCTTCCGTATCATCTGACGGTTAACTCTTTCTTGACGCTACAAGCCTAAAATATTGGAGTGGAGTGACTTCACCAGCTCTTAACTGAAAGTTTGAAAATTCCCACAGGTAATACTGCCAGTGATATTAATTTATAATCTTGTTGTTTGAAAAAAATTTTTGACTCCTCAGTTCTGTGCAAACACTTTGGCAATGGTCCGCTTCTGCTTTGTTCTATACGAAACGACTCTTTGGCTTGATTTACTGCGCATCACCAGCTAAAAAGATTCACGGTTGTTTTTGAACAGGTTTAGTATCGTACGGACCATTAAAACAGCCACCAAACATTATACTA